ATAATACAATGTATAACTATATTATATAATATATTTTTGCATTACTTTCTAAATATACACACTTTCTAAATGTACTCTTATAACTAATTTCAAGAAGGATATATTTAGAAGAGGTTATTTATACAATATAACTATAATATTATTTTATAAGTTAAAATGAAGTAAATAAAGTTACTTATCTTAAGATTACAGTTAGCATAAAAAGGAATAATAGACATGTTTTTTGTTTATAACTTAATAAGAAATTGCTAAAAATTTACAAAAATTTGGCATTGTATTCTTTAAAATAACAGAAATAAAATCTTCTAAGGTCACAAAGTGTGTTACATAGTAATATTTTGTGAAATCAAATGCTAAAGTGATGATCTGAAGGACTATTCTGGTTAAAGTGCTATAAAAAATTATTTAAAAATTTTTTTTATAAGCAAGTATGAAAATAATTTTATAGAAATATATTTAAGATATAGAAAATATATTTGTAATTTAAAAAAAGTTTTCAGTTGATATTTATTGAATAAATACCAGTCAAAAAAAGACTTAATTTTGATAAATTTCATAATAAAATATAGTAAAATATAATAAAAATATTATTTTTATTATGAAATTTATCAAAATTAAGCCTTTTTTTGACTGGCATTTATTCAATAAATATCAACTAAAATTTTTTTTAAATTATAAATATATTTTCTATATCTTAAATATATTTCTATAAAATTATTTTCATACTTGCTTATAAAAATATTTTTAAATAATTTTTTATAGCACTTTAACCAGGGTAGCCCCCAATCCACCACCTTTAAACTGTGATTCCACAAAATATTACTATGTTAACACGCTTTGTGACCTTAGAAAATTTTGTTTCCGTCATCTTAAAAAATATAATGCCAAATTTTCGTAAATTTTTAGCAATTTCTTATTAAGTTATAGGTGAAAAACATGTCCGCCATTACTTTCCGTGCTGATGTATATGGTAATTATATATTAAATTTCAAAAATACAATATGAATATATTTTATTAAAAACAGATCAGAATAAACAAAATAAATGGGAACATAAAATTAATTACAAGTTGTATTTAAAGTTGCTGCTATTAAGAAAAGAATACATGAACTCAGAAGATATTTTCAATAAAATTATTAATATTGAATATCTTGCAAAAGAGGATTTTGAGATATTTATAAACAATCTGGTTGAATGACAGATAGCTAATTACATTCAGAGAAAAGTATATCTTTAGATTTTATTGACTCAATACTATTTATATTTAATATCATCTCGTGACTGAAACATTTTTGAGTGCGCTTGCTTAACGGTAATAGTTAAAACTCTTGTTTTTTAATTTAGTATCAAATTTATTAGCTAATCTTGATTTTCTCTTTTTATCACTTCAAAACCATCTTTTTCCTGAATATATTCGGTTCAGACTTACCCTAACACTAACCCTCAGCATGAACTAGGCTCTGTCAGGTTCGAATAAAAATTACTTGAAATACTGAATTATACATGTACAGTATTTATCAAGAAGTTTAAATTCATTTAAATATTTAATTCTATCTTGATTATATTTACATATATACATATACAAACGATATTATTGACGAAGGACAAACGTTCCTTTACAGTATTTTCTAAACTCACAAAGCGATAAAAGAGATCACGAAACTAAAATTATCGATGTTATACATAACGAGCTTGAAATTTTAATTTCATTTATAAAAACATAATGGGCACTATAGATAATATTATAACTTTCTTCCTATGTTCTAGTGGATATCGAAGCAAACAAATATAGCACAAACACATATGGTAAATATTGAATTTGCTAGTTTTATAAAATCATATTGGCGAATTTATTTCATAATACATCAAGGTTAGGTATTCACTATAATTGTCATAGAACATGATATTTTCTTTAAATAATAACTTAATATAAATGAGGAAAAAATTTATCTCGACACCACTTGAAGTACTTCATAATCCGCAACAGCAAAATTCTTTTGTTCATTAAAGCTCAACAAACCATGTTCATAGGAAGATTTTTTACAATAATTCTTATTAGAAGTATTAAAATTGGTACCATCGAGGATTAAATCACAACCATCTCCAAAAACTGGACCATGAACATTATAACACATCACACTATACCCTTTGTCATGTTTGCTTAGAACTCCATTGATAGCTTGAATATCTTCAGAATCAAATTTATATAAAAAACTATTTGGTTTGGTATAACTTTCTTCAAGAGAATTCCACTCGAACGGATTATAACCACCAATAATCTTTTCCTCATCTTTTACACGAATGGCAACAATTGTTGGACCTTTATTATCACACAGACGATGAAAGTCAGTAGGCTTAAATCCATCACGACTACCACGCAGTAGTAAATTCAATTCGATTGATTTATTTTTCTGACTGTCATCTTGTTCTTTGATCCATTTGATTATTTTAGAGATCTGATTATGCGAAAGAATTGAAGATTCGATATTTGTGAGTTTGCGTACTGGCTGTAAGGTAGCCTTTTGTTCTTCGCTTCCTGGCACCAAATAATGATGCAATAAATCCTTATATAATGTTCCTGGCAAAATTTCTGCATATGGCATGACTTTATTATAAAAATCAACTGAATTGATGTGAAAGAAACGAATCAATGGTAAACAATTTTCGAGAGTAGATTTGAGTTGTTTAAATTCGTTATGTGTCCAATTTTCCAGTGGAATCGTCAAATCACTTTTGCCTGTATCTACAGATTGAGAGATCCCCCATTCAAGCACCTTTTCCCAAAGGTCAATTTCATTTAAATTTAGATCATCGCGTTTAAGTAAAGAAATCAGAGCTGATTCGCGTAGCTTTGTAAAATCGCTTGATTGAAAAATAGCGGCTGGATTTTGACATGCGATATCCGTGCAAAATTTTTGGAGCTTGATAAAAGTGCTATGCTCGAATACGATTTGATTAACGATGGCAAAACTCTCTACCAAAGATTCAGAATAGTGTTCGAGAAGATGAATTTGAATATATTCGATTAGATCCTCAAGAATCATCTCATCAGCCGCAATCAATAAATTCAAAAGTGTCGGAACACCGTGATCTTGTAAATCAATTTTTCCACTGTATATATATCTATTAAAATTTAAATCAGTCAGTCAGCCAGCTAAATTTGCATTTATTTAGTAGTATTATATCATTTTAGCATGAAATTACCTTAGCAATAATTCAAAAACTCGAGGTTCGATGTTCGGTTTCTTAAAAATAATCATCTTATTTGGTTCTCGTTTCACCCAAGCGTCAGCAAGTGCTACTGCAAAATAATGTGACTGCGCCATCAAGATTGCTGAATGAGCTGAAAAAGTACGTAGAGTACTTTGATTCTCACCAACAATAATCGAAATATCACAATAATTGGAATTTTTATAAAATTCATCAAGCCTGTTTGAGTGTGAAGTCAATAGCAAGTCTGGTGTCATTTTTTTATTTTTTAATATTAATGATAATTTTTTAATATTAATGATAATTCTTTTCTTAACGTAGGTTGATCAGACAGCTTTTATGGCAAATGTGTTACTATTACCGTTACAGACAACTGTTAATGCATATATATAGGTACATGTATAAGCATACGGATACGACCCCAAAAAATAGATATTCTTTTATATTTCACATGGCTTTTCGTTGAAAGTACATGTAACGGTAATTGAAAGTTATAAAACAGAATTTTGTTAAGAAAAATCGAAATAGATGATGCAAGAAAAATACACGCATTAAGAAATCCTCCAAAGTCTGGACAAAGTTAATATTTTCTTTGTACATGTAAATGAACATGCATGTATGATTTTTCGATATCAAATACAGGTAAATGTATATGTACCGTATTCTGCCGGTTTTAAGCAATGTCGGTTATAAGTAATACCTCAAATTTTATTGGTTTTTTGTTTTTCCGGTTATAAGCAACGCCTTTTTATTTCTTTATTATATTTATACAACACTTCTTATTTACATATCATTATTGATTTCTACCATCTCTTCATCATCATCTAAATTATCATCATTTGATTCATATAGTAAATTATCTTGCTGCCCATTCATTTCATTTGAAATACCACGTTTCAAAAATGATTTTTTACCATTTCTGTTGAAATTTCTTCTCATGCTTGAATAATCCATTTGCATATAATTTTATAATTTGGTTTTCATAAATTTCCACCTTTTGTTAATAAAAATTCTTCATTTGCCATCCATAGGCACCATTCAATCTTTAAAAGGCTTATTTAAACACACATTTAATGGTTGTAAAATAGAGATAAGTCCATCAGGAATAATCATCATATTGCAGTTGTGTTCTCAAAATTTGCATTTGATGGATTCAGTTTTGTGTCCAAAACAAGCAAGTTTTTTGACTTTGATAATCCTCCCACACGAGGTGCCCACAATTTCTCTACCCAAGTTTGCATCAATATTTCATCTATCCTTTATCTTGTATTTTAACAATGATTTCCCATGGAAGATCTTTAGGTAATCATTTTTCCTTGAAAATCACCATTGGTTTTAACTTGGTATCAATATTTAAGATGCAGGTGAAATGAATTTTTTCATTTCCTATTGTTTGAAGGTGAACAATATTAGTGCCTAGAATATTAATTATTGTATTTCCCACCATGTCAAAAAATATTGGCATTTCATCTATATTTCCAATTTGACTCAAGTTCTAGTTGTGTTTTTTTTGCTACTTGATAATATATCAATGAATGAAATAATCTTTTCAGTTAAATCTGCTGGAAGTTTCTGAGATAATGATGGAGAAAAAGATCATGATGGTTCAAAAATCTATAAAACTAGTGGTCAGATGTGAAAAATTACTCAAAAGCATCTGGATAATGTTCACAAAATTCTGTTTGAAGCAATAGTTTCATTCGTTCTTTTACAATATTGCTGGTAATACTGATACCATTTTGTTGCAGACTTAAGATCCACTCTTTTAGAGCGGTTTCAGCATCAGGATAATGAGCATGGTCACCAGCACTAATTTTTTGGGAGCTTGGTTTTGCAGCCTTAAGGATATCCTCTTGTTTGTCCATCATGATATCTGAGAAGCACTAAGACCTAATTCTCAAGCTGCTTTATTATTACTGGTTCTTTTTGCAAGAGATTTGGATCTAATTTTTGTCGAGTGGATCAAATTTTTTGCGGGTTTTGCTGGAGGCATAATATTTTTTTTTGTGAAGTAGAATTTGACGTGAAGTTGAGCGCTAAATTTGAGACATGACACAGATACTGATTGCGCATTTCACAAATTACCAATCGATCATTTACGGATTTTCCTTGTCGCACTGAGTCGGTTACGAAGAATTTGGAACATATAACGATCATTTAGCCGTAAAGAGCACATTTATTAGAAATTGCTTTGCACACTATTAAAAATTCGAATTTTTTAAAAAAATAACAAAACTGCCGGTTATAAGCAATCCCCCAACACAGAGCCCAAATTTTGGTTGCTTATAACCGGCAGAATACGGTACATGTATATCGATATGCTTTTAAGCAATGGAATTCCTTATATCTTTCATTATTTGATTACAAAAAAATCAATTATCCCACGTAAGGATCGATAAAAAAAATACAATCTAAAGCTCTGTTCGCGAACATTACTGTATAGAATAGGCAGGCTTGTATTTCCTCTTTATTACATGTACATATAATTATTTTTTCTTTAATGTTCTTCGCGGTAAATGAGAGATACATGATTATGATCGTTCAGAATTTTCGTAATCACACTGCGGCACGGTTAGTTTTGCTGCTTTTGGTAAAACCTACAGATACATCAATACTTCGGGGTAATATTTCGGATTTTGTCCAAGCAATACTTTAATTTTGATCTAATAATTATTTTAAAATAAATATTTATTATAAATTTGAATTAATATTCTGGAATTATGTTATGTTAATAAATACGTTTTAAACTAAAAAAAAGTATTAATTTATAATTCGTTTAAAGATTTTTGGCATGTAAGTTAATTTAAATAAATGTTAATTCAATACTAATGAGAATAATAATTTTTACATGCATTTTCCATGTTTTGGGATGCGAGTCAAATGAATAAGCGAATCCTTTGATAAAAATAGTTTTTCCTATTTCACCGAATCCGTCTTTAATAACCTTATTTTTCGTTGACATTTCTCGGTCTTTACTTAAGTAATAGATAATTATTTTTGCTCATTATTTACGATTTCTACATCTATTCAAATTTTCGAAATACGTTGTTTTAGTATTTCGCGTCGTATGGATAATTAGTATGAGGCGGAAAATGGTTGAATTTCCGGAGATGGATTACGATTCCTTTCTAACGTCATAATTTATCTGGTATAACATCCCAACATAACCCCAATATCCCGACGTATTTACATATTAATATTAAAATCAGTCAATGTTAACTTTAATAACTAATTCTGAAATTTATCTTACAAATCACTCGGCTTATGATTCGAATTTCACTAATATCGAAATCTGTTTTATCACCAAAAAAATATTGAAAGTAATAAATTGAAATGAAGTTTACCTTCATTTGGAACATATAAACTAACACTTGTAGAACTTAAATATTTGATTTATATGATATAAAGAATTAAATGCTCGTATCTGCATCAGTTTGAATTGATGTTAATTTCAAAATAAAAATTCGATTTGTGTAAACTGCATTTGAGTGGATTTGTTGTTTCTTGTAGGAATGCTTTTTTGTGATTTCATCTTATTAAGTTCTTCTAATCTCCGCTTTTCTAGTTTAACACACTCTTTAATTTCTTTTTATGTTTTCGGTAAACTGGAGTACTGAAAATGCAAATAATTCGGTTTTCATCGACTATACTATCATCATAAATGAAGCAGATAAATATCCATAGTTCCTTAGCAGTTGGTCTATTTTCTGGAATAGGATCCCAACATTTTTCAATAATAAATTTGTATATTCTGGGAATATTATTAGGTATCGTAGGTCGTAACCCGTTATAACAAGATATATATCATGGCTTCGTTCACCAAATGGTCGTTCACCAGTTACAATCTCGTACGTAACCATCTCAAAGCTATAAATATCTGCAGCGGTAGTGTATGGCTTTCCATTTAGCAACTCTGGACTAATACAAGGAAGTACGCCACGAATTTCTTGCTTAGATTTTCTATATTTGTTGGAATATTAATTCTATAATATGCAATTCGAGGAATATTAAATCATTAATATATTTCCAGGATGAATGTCAATGTTTTTCTGTGAATATTTGTCAGATTATTAATTATATCGTTTAATAACTTAATTTATTAAGCTAAGTTAATTTCGTAGTTAGTATATTTATAATCCATCACTATTGAATACTCATTTGTAACTGGACTTTTTATTATTTCATAATAATTCATATGTCTGCATTTAAGCCCAGCCCGAACCTATTTAAAATTTGATTGTTTTAGAAAACAAATGTAGTTTTCTTTAGAAAATATTCATTTTAAACTCTAGAGTAATTTGTTTGGAATTGTGTAATGGTCTCAATACAACTTCTCTATTTCCTCCTCGTTTAAATCTATTTTTTTCATGATCCTATTTGTCAAGAAAGCCCTCATCAATTGCCCCAAAACCTCCTTTTGCAAAATATCCAACATCGGTGAATCTTTCAAAAGGAAGCCATACGAATCTTTCATCATTTTTATTAATTCTGTTGCATTTTTTTATTAGATTGTCGATACCTTTATCTCAGCTAGACAATTGTCATTATAAATTCGCTTGTGATATTTGAAACGGTCAACACAGTGCTGATTTTTTTGACAAATAGTACATTTACTACAATCATGAGCATTGTGAACTAAACACTCATCGCAGTAGTAATTCCTTTGACAATCAGTACATTCATTACAAGGATGAGTATTTGATTCCATCTTTGAGTTCGCTTTATGTTTGTGAAGTTCACCATATAATGCAAAAGTCATTGCTATTGAATATTCGTTTGTAACTGGGTTTTTAGTCATTCTATAATAGGCTATCAAGTAGCCATAATCATAGCTTTTAAGACCAGTTTGAAGTTATTTTAAAATTGTAATTGTGTTAGAAAAAAGTACATGTAACTAACTGGCTTTCACTTTAGAAAATGTTTATTTTTTTACCTCGTGTATAAAAAACTCTTGAGTGATTTGCTTTGAATTGTGTAACGATTTTAACAAACTTCTCTTCGTTTAAATTAATTTTCTTCATGATAATCATAAACCAATGGTCCAAGCGGGTTGCTTTATACAGTAAATTGACCCAAAATCTCCTTTCGTGAGATATTTAACGTTGGTAAATTTTTCAAAAGGAATCCATTCGAATTTAATTTCATATTTATAATTAATTTTGTTGCATTTCATCTTTGTAATTAATTTTATTGCATTTTTTTTATTAAATTGTCGGTATCTTTATCTCCATTAGACAATTCATAGTTATAAATTCTTTTGTGATATTTGAAACAGTCAACACAGTCCTTATTATTTTTGACATATAGTGCATTTACTACAATCATGAGTATTGTGAACTAAACACTCTTCGCAGAAGTAATTCTTTTGACAATCAGTACATTCCTTACAATGACTAGCATTCGCTCCCATATTTGAGTTCAGTATATAAATGGGTGAATTGATTGAATGGTAGAAAATAAACGAGAGATAATCTCTGTCATTTTATACATATACATGTACAGTATGTACATGCATGAAGCGGTAAGGATACAAATTCTATGTACTTTATTACATGCACTGCTGCTGGAGAAACGAAAAGTCCCATGATTATGAAAATTCTGGAACAATCTTAATTCTTGTATCGGTATCCCTAATTGCATATGGCAATGTTGTTATGAAAATAATTTAAATTGTTCCGCATCATCTGAACCAACCAAAATTTCACGAATTTTGTAGCATCAACATCGATTTCGTTTCGCAAATCTTGTTTTATGGTATCAACATCAACACTGCCTTCCAATAACACAATTTTCTTACAAAGTTCTCACTTTGCACTCCCAAGAATGATTAGAAACTCTTACAAACATTCATATCGTATGTTATTTCCTTGATCCTTACAAAAATTCACATTTTGTGTTGTACGTAATAATTTACTTTTTAATTATTATTATTCATTGCTTCGAAGCATAATCATTATATAGAAGCCAAATTGTATATAAAGGATGGTCTCAAAGGATTATTTCTAATACAGTGCTTCGGCTTTCATTTTTTGCGTCTTAACTAAAATCGATTACTTTCTTTCTTTTGTGCATAACAAATTCGAAGTCTTTAGTCATGCAAAGTTTATGAATCATGTTTGATTCTTTGATTTGATTATTTGACTTTAAATATTTTATAGAAACCCATATTATTGTTTCATAATTATATATGTTATTGAATTAAAGTTATATTTTGCTAATAGTTAGTTATTATTTTGATATGTGAAATTAAATACCATTCATATCTTACCTTTTCCCTTGCCCTTGCTTACAGATCTCCATGTATATTGGCACAGGAGACCTTTATAAACCATTTTGCATAAATTATTCAGACTAGCTCTCAACATTTGTCGCATCTACAATTCTTTAGTCAAGCTAACTTCTGCGTTGAGTATGACAGTACAAAAATATGCAGTTTTTATTGTTTGTAAGCATGTGAAAGCTTATTTGGTATATACATGTACTTATACAGTGTATACAGTTGTTTGGAGGGGAAATGACACGAATTATAAAGAAAGCTTATTTAGATACTGTACATGACATGAATTCTAAAATGAGTGTGTTTTTATTGTTGATAATTTTAAATTAGCTTTATTCGGTTATAAAAATATGCATTATAATGATAAATTAATAGAAATGGCAATCGTTAACTTTATTCTCAATTTCGTATACTAATATCTGTTTTTTATCACCAAAGAAATATAATGAATCAATGAACTAAAGGAACTGATGAATGTAAATTGAATCAATGAACTAAAGGAACTGATGGAATGAAAATTTACCTTCATTTGGAACATACCGTTTAATATGTTTAAATTAATATTAATTTGAAGTAAACATTCGACTGGTGTAAAAAATACAATTGGGTGGATTTGTTGTTTCCGATTTAATCGTAGGAATGCTTTTTCATATTTGTTTTTAGTTTCTGTTCTGTTCATTTATTATCAGAAACTTATCAAATTGGTCTATTTTATGGAATAGGATCCCAAGATTTTTTAATAATAAATGTATATTTGGTCTTGTAGTGTTACCATTGTAAATGTTAAAATCACGAATTTCAGAATTTCATAACTAAATAAATTGATTGGTCAAATTTACATGATTAATCAATTACACGTGAAATTCGAAAAAGAATCAACACTAAGCATGATTTAATAGAAGTCATAACGTTACTTATCGTTATCGGTAGTGAAAGCTGAATGTGAAGTGCATTGACATTTTGGAGCAGATAGCGATCCTTGTTAAAAGCAAAATCAATGTACAGTATGCACACATTGTGAATTTCATTTCTGTTACATGTATAATGCACAGCGGTAGAACATTAATGTTGTGAGACAAATATCAAAACATACATGCATCAAAGCAGAACAATGAATGCATGCCTCATTGTATGCATGTGAAAGTGATACAAACGTAAACATAAAATAATATAGCAAAAGGCATACACGTATTTCAAATGATGCACATATAGTGAGCGCTCAATAGAATAATGTGATCGGGGGAAGGGATAACGATGTTACTCTATCGATATAATAAATACAATGAATGCTTATTAAAATAATGGGATCGGGGGAAGAGATTTGGTGTTATTACGAGATGTGTCTTGAAGAGTGTTACTGTAGCGAGATCTCCTTGCATTTAGAAATTTTATAGTTACACAATTTTAAAACAGAAAAATTTAATTTAATTCTTTTCGCCTAGAACGATTTGGTTAGCGAGGTTTTCCAATTATAACTCGAACAAGATATTTCACTGCATTACATATCTTATAACTGTAATACAAGCCAATACAAAAGTTGAGAAAGTTAAAGATGGAATTTATTTGAAAATTCTTATTGTTGTGTGCAACAAAACGTGATTAGATATAACTTGTACATGTATTATGCATGTTTTCTTATTGTGAGACAAATTTAATCTGTAGGTATTTAACTTAACTGAACTGTTAAAAATGATGCATCATACTTAAGCGTCCGTAAAAATATTACATATATATACATAGTATTTACTAGGATTGTACGTCAAAATAAAATTGTTCGTATGTGGGAAAAATAGTATTTACTATTTAATGAAAAAAGAATTCCTCAAAAGTAAAATTGTTCGTATGTGGGAAAAATAGTATTCACTATTCTATGAAGAAAGAAATCCTCAGAAGTAAATTGTTCGTATGTGGGATAAATAACTTGCTCGCCAAAGAGAAAAGAATCAGGGTTTGTGATACAAGGTTCAATGGGAGTTTGATTGACCCCACCTTGTGCGAATTCAAATTGCATGAGTCCATCTTGTATGAATACAGTTTGCATGAGCTCATCTTGTGTGAATTCAGTTGGTGTGACGTTAGAAATCGGTGATTGATTTTCGACAGGGCAGTCTTCATAATATTGAGTTTGATATTGCGGTTCTTGATATTGCGGTTCTTGATATTGCGGTTCTTGATATTGCGGTTCTTGATATTGCGGTTCTTGATATTGTGGCTCTTCACATTGTGGTTCTTCATATTGTGATTCTTGATATTGTCCTTGAGCATGTGAATCAAATTTAACAACTTTGAAACTTGCTTTACTCCTCTTCGGTGCATATTTCCAATCCGGATGCAATGATTTATGCAATTCAACCACTTCACTACATAATGCTTTATAGGAAGACTTCTCGGCTAAAGAAAAGGATTTCCACAGAGCCCCAAAAATTTTCGAGAGTAGTGGCTGGTCCAAATTATCAAAAAATTTTCTATCATCATCAGACATTGAAGTATGTTTAATTAAATTAATCGCAATTTGACGAAAGAATATAAAACAATTAGGAGGTCTCTTGATCATGCCGTCAGCTTTACGAAAAAGACTATCACTTTCAGAATTAAATATGTCATTTAATGTGTAAGGGATTGGGTGAAATATTAAAATTCTTTTTATTCTTTCAATTTCGTATTTGTAAGTTGTTGCATAATCGTTGTCTCTTTTCTTGCTAATAGGACTTTTTGTAACTCTCTTCAGATTGTTGCATTTAGGTAAATTGACTTTTTTATGGTTGCCTCCTTTCATTTCGATGTCTCTGATATTTATTTGTGTATGTATGCTAGTTTTACTGAATTCTGACTTCTCGAGTTGAATAAGATTTAATGGATTTGGTTTTTGTATAAAATGAAGCTGAGGTGTTTATATCTTTTTCGATCAAAGCATAAAATAAAAAATGAAGCTAAATATTTATATTTTTTTCGATGCATGCATAAAATGAAATTTTTAATTTAATAGTGTCATCATCTCCAATTCACCAATAATTGTGAAGAATAGTTTTTCTTCATAGAGCCCTTTTGTACCAATCAACAGACAGATTCTACGTATTAAAATTCTAATTATTACTTTTGATGTGTGCCGGAGTTTTGATGTAGAGAATCGCGGAGTTTTCGATTTTTCGATGTGAATTCTAAATGCATTGTCAAATTAAACAGTGGAATATTTAATTAAATTGGAAATTCATTTCTAAATATAAATAGATTTTTTTATTTTATATTCATTTATTATATTATGAATCTCTTCTGACTTCATTCAATATCGAAAAAAATGAGAATGGTTTAGCTTAGTTACAAGCACATTTTTATAATAATAAAATAATCTTTAATTGAACGCTATTACAAAGATCAATTCTCTAAAGACTCTTGCGGCTGTAATCTTAAAAATATGCTTATTTTCGTTTTAACTGAATTTTCATTCCGAATTCAATAACTTATGTAGATATTTTACTCGTTCATATAGGTAATTACTGGCGAGTCTTCAAAAACAGTGACTGGCCCAAATTCTCATAAAACAGTCGATCATTAGCAGACATTTCCGTAACTGCATCATTGTTGACAAGTGAACAAAAACGTCGTATTTTGATTCTTTGCTCTTCTTTACCAAAAGTTACGCTATAAAGGATTGAATTTTCCTAATCTCTAATTCGTAAATAAAACAACGATAATTTGTTCTTCTTTTAAACAATGAGCTTTCGATAAGTCTGTTCTCGACTATTTTAATCTTTCTATTTGACCTCATGATTTCTTACAAAGAAGCGTTTGATGGATTGCAGTTAATTTGTTCTGCGTGTTTATTCCAATCAGCCAATATACATTTATATTGTGAAGCTAGAACAAAGAGAAATGGATAACGTGTACATGTATACCGTACCGTTGATGACGTTACCGTTACAGCATAGTTGCAGCACAAGTTCCGATCTCCCCATTTTCCGATCCTGACGATCTATACTAAATAGAATCTGGGACAAAGTTCCGTTCTACTTCAATAGAAAAACGCGCGATACAAAAACAAAAATTTATTGATGAACTAATTAACGTAAATAAAATTTCTCCGAATTTACTCTTAATTTGTCCTGTTTTCTTGAATATTTATAGATAAAACATGTGACTTTTTAGAAATTTCGATTTTTTTCGTTCGGAATTTCATTTTCTTGATTATTATAGTTTTTTACCCAAATATGCCGTCATGATACTTGTTCTCGTTTTGTGGATCACTTGAACAGGAATCATAGCTCCACTACGAATTCATTTTTAGTATCTTTCAATACGAGAAAGAAATAAGTTTTCCAGAGGAAATTTTCTTACTTTATTGTACTCTTCTGTAAATTTTTAAACACCGTCAGTAACTCAGTATTTTGAGTTAAATCTTTTGATTTCAGATAAAAAATCCTTCATTTTAATTATATAGGTTTCATTAATATTGATGTTAAAATAAAATATAATTATGTAATGCTGATATATTTAACATTAATAAAATTTTGTAGTTAAATACCTTTATTTTATAGATTCATTTAAAGAATTTCAATAAATTTTTTTTAAAGGTGTATAAAGAGTTTGATCCATAGGTCTTGGTCATAAAGTGCAATAAAGGCTTGATCCACAAGTTTTGGCATATTATCTTTCCTATTAAAATGAATAATAATCATTATAAAATAATAATATCAATATTTTTTTTAATAATATAATATTAAACATGATCTTTAAGAGTTAATCAACTTGAAAAATTAAATATTCCTTCAAAAAATTTGATGGCAATTGCTGCTTGATGCTTACAAAATGCTTCTGATAATTCTAATACGCAACAAATTTTTATTATCAGTTTCACTAAATAATATATATTTTGATAATGTTCAACCTGAACACTATAATATATAGTATTCTCAGTTTATATAATTTTGTTAATATCAATATTTTATCATACAGAATATAAAATTGCTTTGAAATATTCTGAATAGTAATGGACAAAACTATATATACTACTATGTATATTGCATATATATTATATTGTATATATAGACTGAGTATATAGTTTTAACAAAATATAATCAAAGCATATAATAATTAATCAAGCATAAAATCATTATCAAACAAAATTATATATGAAGCAATTAATCATAATCAATTAAGAGATTTATATACTTTATTAAGTATAAAACTAGCAAATAATAGTTAACTTCTATAGATAAATAAATATAGTATTTATAAAAAAACTGAATATTTTAATTTTCTTCATAAATATTTATTTAATATTATAAAAATTTAAATATATATACTTGAGAATATGATAAATAACTTTACTTAAGACTACTTAACTACTTATCTTATTAAAATTTTTTATAATTTATATTTTTATAATTAAAATTTTTAATAATAAAAAAATATAAAAAATTATTATAATCAAATTTGAATATTATTTTGCAAATTAACTTAAGTAAACTTGCTTACTAGATTATTAAATATATATATATTTAAAATTTTATATAATTTAAAATATTTATTAAATAATAAACAAAAAAAAGATTTAAATTTTTTAAATTAATTTTTCAAAAAAAATTTTAATGAAAAAATTTTATTAAGATAAGCTATTAAATACTTTTAAAAAAACTTATTTACTAAATTATTAAGTATATATTTAAAATTTTATATAATTTAAATAAATATTTATTAAATATAATTAAAAATAAAATAATCAATTTTTTTATAACATATTATAACTTTAATATTATTATTTATATTTTGATATAAATTACAAAATATCTTCTTATAATATTATATAAAAGTATTTAAATAAATTAATTATATTACTAAATTTTAATAATAATAAGTAAAATATAATTATTATAAAAACTCCAAGTATTAAAATATTAATTCTATAATTTAATATATATTAAATCTGTATATATATTCAAATACTTTAATTGAGATTAAATAATTATTTTTTAATATAAACTATGAAAAGCTAATAATAGTAATAAATATTTAATTAAATATTAATATAATAATAAATATAATAAATATATAATTAAATATTAATACTAATATTACAAATTCTATTAGTATAATAAATATAAAATCAAATATTAATACTATTAATTTAATATAATTAATAATATTATTAGCTTTATTAATAATTAATTATAATAAAATATAAAAATAATAATTTATATAAAAAATATTTTATAAAAGTTATTTTTAAATATAAATTATAACTATTATTTTCTAAAATAAATATATATAGTAAATATAAAGTATATCAAAAAAAATTTTAATAATAAGAAAACTTAAATAAATTATTATAAATAAATTTAATTCTTATTTTACAAATTAATCTTAAGTAAACTTGTTTACTAGATTATTAATTATATATATTTAAATTTTATATAATTTAAATAAATATTTATTTTAAAATTTTTATAATCAATTTTTTCAAAAAAAATTTAATAAAAAATATAAATTATAAAATATTTTATAAAATAAACTATTAAATATTTTTTAAGTAAATTTTTTTTACTAGATTATCAATTTAAAATTTTATATAAATTAAATAAATATTTATTAAATATAACTAAAATTAAAATTTCCAATTTTTTTTGATTACTATACTTGAATTTCTCTTAAATTATTAGTAAATACTTAATAAAAACCTAATATAACTTGTTTTATATATTTAAAAATAAATTATTTAACTTTTGAATTATCTACTTATAAAATTTTAATAAATTTAAAAATAATAATAAAATGAAAAAATTAAAATTAATATATTTAATAAGAATTTTTAAAAAGAAATTACTAAATTTCTTGTAATACTTGAAAAAATAATTATAAATATTATAATATTTAAATTCAAAAAATAAATATTATATTAAAATTTCTAATTAAAATTAATTTTATTAGTTATTTTAAAATTTATTAATTATAATATAAATTAATAAGATATTAATTACAAAATAAAAAAAATATATAGTTTAATTATAATTATTACTTATTTATTAAATTTTGACTTTTGAAAAATAATTATCTGATAATAATATAAATAAAATTTTAACTTATATTAATAATTATTTAAAAAATAAAATTATTATTAAAAGTTAGTTTATATAATATAAAACAAAATTAAATTTATTTAGTAATAAGTTATTATAAAATACATAAATAATATAAATTTAATTATATAATAAAATATAAATTTTATATAATTAATATTTAAAATTAAAAAAATATATATTTTAATAATTTTTAATATTATTATATAATAAATTTATTATTTTAAATTATATTAATTTGAATTTTTTATTAATCTAAATTATTTTTTCAGAATATTTTTATATATAGTAAAATTATTTTACTAATCTGAATAGTAATAGTAAATTTATTTTAAATTATAAGTCAAAAATTTTATAAATAATAATGATATTAAATTTATATTAATAACCTGAATTTTTATAAATTGAATTTTTAGCAATATAATTTAAAGAAAATTTATAGTATAAATTTATATTAATTAATAAAATTATATATATATATAAACTCAAAATATATTTAACTTTTGAAATATATTTTATATTTTTAATATATTTTGATATAAAAAATAAGTTCAGAATAAACTTTTAGATATTTTAAAGATTTCAAGAAATATTAATTATAGAATACTTAATCAAGTATTTTTAAAAAAGAAAATATATTTTACTTATCTTAAATTAAAGAATTAAAATATAAAATAAAGTTAAATAATTCAGATATAAAGAATAT